CCTCTAAAAACAGACATATAAGACAGTCGCTTGCTCCTCGCTAGGACCCTGAGAGGCCCCAGTGAGCGGCTGACTAATATGCCTGTTTAGAGGCTGCCACTGCCTGATTGTGACCAGCCCAGATGGCATACCGGGTCCTCCAGACACTGCGGATACTAGCGAGACTCGTACAGCCCCCCTGAGAGTCCCACACAGCCAACCTCAAAGCTGTACAGCCCCCGAGAACCCATACAAACCACACGAGAGCCTGCAAAGCCCTCCAGAGACCCTGGAGACATCAGGCCGCCACCCCGGACCAACACAGAGTATGTAGCTTCATATTATTCTGCATTGGATGTATAATGTATTGCTGGGATTTGCAGTCCTCTATAGCTGATGGTATTATTCTGCTTTGCTGTACAGTATAATGTATTGCTGGGATTAGTTGTCCTCTATAGTTACTGGTATTCTGTATTGCTGTATATTGTATTGCTGGGATATGTAGTCCTTTATAGTTGGTGGTATTCTGCATTGCTGTATAATATTTTGTTGGGATTTGTAGTCATCTATAGTTGGCGGTATTCTGCATTGTTATATAATGTATTGCCGAGATTAGTTCCTCTACAGGTTGGAGTCAGTGGCAAAACTACCAGGGTCACAGCTGCAACTGGGCCTTGGTGCTCCACCACTGACTCCAAGCTGCAGAGAGACTGTTCCCTTGCAGTATGAAGTGTTTTTCTAAAATAAATCATCAGGATTAAAGTCTAATTGCAGGATTGGCAATTTGAGACACAGGTTGGTTTAGTGATCCAAAAGAAGCCTTAAATGACAAACTCAGGAGTTAAATCTTAAAAATACATTCAGCATGAATTCAGAGATGGTTTGAGGATCTACAGCTGAGTGATACACAAATAAGATACATTTTTCTTAATAGTTAAGGTACTTTAATGTATTTTTAAACATTCATCTCCTGAGTTTAGGGTCACTTCAAGCACATCATGATAGCCAAGCTACAAAAAAAAAAATTAAAGGAGGGGTCAGCAATGGCAACCAACATTTCCTCGGTAAAGGTTTCCTTTAGGAGCTTTCTGTATAACAGAGAAATTCCCCCTCATGCAACTTCCAGATTTTGAAGTAATGCAGAGATGATTAAAAACTTCACCTGCCACTAAAATCTAGTATCACAGCACAATCATGCGTAGACTATAGTTGGTTTGATTTGCAAGTACAGTTGTGCTTAAGTTATCAGGCTTCAGTTCAACCTGCACTTTAAACAGTATAAGAGCGAGGGTCCCACTGTTGCATCTACAGGGGATTCAGAGGTGGCAATTCCTCTGTGCTTGAATGATAGGGAATAAAGCATTACATTAGAAATCCCCTTAAAACACTACAGTTCAATAGCTATACCTAACTGGCCAAGAATCTGGAGGTTATTCTTGAGATAGTGAATAGTTTAAAACTATACAGATCTCATCTATATAAATATTATGTGGGAAATCATTTTATTGTATAGAAGGTATGGAAACAATAATGTCCCTGTCCCCAGGCTTCTTAGTCACACAAACAGTACTTAATTTAAAAAAAATGTTCTTAAACCAAAAGGCATTCCGATTTGGGAACTGCATATTTTATTTTGCATAATGAAAACTGCCAAGTCTGTAATTCATCTAGTCTACCACTGCAAAGCGCAACATAAAACAAAGAGAGCTTTTGAAATAAAGGAAGACTGTAATTTGTGCGCAGATTATACAGCTTTGGGCTACAGAAGTGCAGTAATGATCAGGAATGTAATTAGTTTCCTGTTGCAGAGTTTCCATATTCATTTTAAATACACCTGTACCTGTAATACACAATACCGTGGAGGAGAATATCTGGGAAGGTAGACACTCTATAATTGTTCTTGAAACAGTGAACTAGTAAAATTCCTGGAGCGTCAAATAATCTGCAAAAATGCCCCTTTAAAGTGACATTAAAGTCAAAAAAATGTTTCCCCCCCATGTTAATGTTAGCACTTACCTTAAATGATGTCTATTAATCCGATCTTCTTTCCTGATGTTTTCATCTGTCCCTCCAGCGGTGCGGCGGCTCTCCGATCCATCGCTGACTCCTCTCTGCTTACAGGCACTTCCGATCCAGCGGTGTCTGCATGCGGGTGCACGCGTCCATAGGCTTACCCTGCTAGTCTCCCGGCCGAGAATCCGAACTGCGCATGCACCAGCCCCAAGATCCTTTGCGGCCGCAGGAACAGAATCGGATTCTCGGGCGGGAGCGTGCAGCGATAACAAGGTAAGTTTAAACCACTGTTAAAAGCGGTTTTTATTTTTTAAAAACTTTTTGCCCATCTCTACTGCTTGCTAGTAGAGATAGGCAAAAAAAAACGGAGGCTTTAGAACCCCTTTAAAGCTGAACTCCAGGAAAACATATAATACACTGATACATAGAAAGGAATTGCTTTACCTGGCAAAGGATTTGTATTTAAAGAACTCTGAGCAAATTACAAAATCAACCCTTGCCTTGGGGTTAAACCCTTAACACTGCAAGGGTTAGTTGCTTGTTTTGGTCTGGGGTCGAGAAGAAAAATATATACTCACCCGATCGATGATGTACAGATACATCAGGAGACGTTTCTAAAGTCGGGGGATGTAGCTAAAGAAAAAGATATACTCATCCGATCCTGCTAGACCGGTGCCTGCAGCCTACCCCGCCCCCCCCCCATCTCTGTTCAGGTGGTTTATTGACCCGTGAGACATTGTGTCTAATACGGTGTATTCGATGTGAGGATGCCAAGGGACAATTTCACTGCCGGAGCAGAAGAGGAGAGAGGCAGGATCAGGTGAGTATATATATTTTTTTTAATTTACCACCCTAGACCAAAACAAGCAAAATACCTGAACAATCTGATTGGATGCAGGCATTGTTCAGGTACTTTGAGAGCCAGCGGGGCCGACTAGCAAGATACTGAAGCGGGAGATTCCTCCATCCACACAGTTTAGCATAGATGGAGGAATCTGTTGCACTTTTTCCATCTGTCCATAGAAAAACTGCAGATAATCTATAGGTGTATGGCCAGATTTAGTTGTCTCAGGGCCAGTGAAAGGGGACAGTATAAGAATAGAATGCACACTGTTCTCTGCATGGTGCCCAGTCCGTGAAGCCTTCCAAGTTTCAGTTTTCTGCTCTAGGTAGAGCACTAGCTTTCAAAGCTATACTCAAACTCTACCTATGTCCAGATCTCCCCACGAGTGGGGAAAAAATTAAAGATATTCTGTAAATCTTATTTATCACTATATTGTAACCAATTTTTTTGGATGCATGAACCCCAAATATCACATTTTCTGGTTGCCATGCTGCATTTAAAGAAAGCCAACATTTCACTGTCAAATCCAAATAACTACAGATATTTGTAGATGGACAACATGGGTAGGAGGAAACTTTCTCCATATCTTATGGTACAAAAAAAAAATAAAAAAAATTCAAAAGTCTACACAGTAGAAGTACACTACACTACAAAGCAGAATATTTCAAGACAGGTAATGGACACATTTATCACATTAATTCTCCTACTGTATCAGAGATTGTACATGGGTGTTTAAAATACACGTATCCAGCATCGATTCTATGGTGGCATAACAGTAAGGAGCAAAGTGTTTTGAAAGCCTGTGTGCTCTAACACTTACAATACCTAATCTTTAAAAAAAAATAATAATAATAATAATATGTTGAGTTAGCCTGGCTATAGATAACAAAATGTTTCACTGAGAAGGTAATGCTCCCACGGTCATCGCTTCAATATACCAGGACTTCAGTGCAACTCGACTAACATGTGCATGCACGTTTAACCATCCAAAGGAAAACAGAGTCCCTGCACACAGATATTTCAACAAAGGAAATCATTTAATATTACACTTAGTATTCATATATCTTTATATACAAGTTCATAGGATCACCATTAATCTATACCTCACCTCAGACATTAACCAGTGCCTTTGTTTCATTCCAATATCAAGGTGCTGCGTTTCATCCAGGATTTCCTCCAATGTCAGTGGGTATGTGTCACCTCGCTGGTGTCGAGTCTGCAGAGGTAAACCAACATGTTAATTTATACATCACGACTTTCATTTCTAACCTGATAACTTTTTAAAAAATTGTTATTTTTCAGAAGATATGGAACTTTTCCCTTCTTTTCAGTCAGATAGTGTTTGTTGCAGGTCACTGTTACTGTTAGAATAGACTTCAAGTTATACTATTGGGAGACTCGCTGTGAAATTCTAATAGCAGCACACTGGACTAAATTAGGCTAGCATTGACTGTTCACGTGATTTAATTTGGGTAGATAATTGGAAAATATGTAGGTATCCATTACATGCTGAAGTGGGAACTCACTAAATCAGTAAATGTGTAATCTATGGTTATACTATTTTAATATAAAACATGAGCACCAGATGTCGATCTACAAAAGATAAGTGATCAGGTCCTTGCAGTTGTGTACAGTTGCAATCAATACATTGCACGTGTCCACACTTGCTTCAATGGCTCGCTTGCAAAACCTAGTGTTAGTAGTTAAAGTGACATTAAAGGATTCCCCCCCAATGTTAGTGTAAGGACTTACCTTAAATGATGTCTCTTAATCCGATCATCTTCTTCTTTACTGTCGTTTTTAGATATCCCTCCAGCACTGGGTGCGGGTCTCTGATCGAGCGCTGACTCCACTGTGCTCCTCTTCACTCATGTCCCACGGAGTCTGTGCGGGTGCACGCTGCTCCATAGACTTACCTTGCGTCTCTCCTCGTCTCACGGCCGAAGATCTGAAGTGCGCATGCGCCCGCCCCAAGATGCTTTGCGGCCGCCCGATAAATTTTCAGATGTTCGGACGGGAGCGTGCGGCGAAGACACAGGAAAGTTTTATCCTCTTTCAAAAGTTTTTTTTTTTTTAAGTTTTTGCATTTATCTTATGCTTGCTAGGGTTTAATAACCCTTTAATGTGTCTTTGAATTTGGAGTTTTCCTTTTGCCTCTCTATTAAGTGTTCTCATATCGCTACGTTGTACAGACAACACAAAACACACCTGACAAAGGAAAACACTAAGGGGGTCTCTTTATCATGTGAATATCTGTGAACATTAACTTTGTGAAAAAAATTACAAAAACAAAATGTTCAATATAATTTACTTTTTAGCTCAAATGCATTATGATGGAATATGTAATACTGCATTAAGGCCACTGGCAGTCAACACCACCAATCGATGTGACGCAGCAACGCTCTAAAATTGTCCCTTTTGGGACCAGAGGAACCACACTTAGCCTTTTGGCCAAAGCCACAGCTTACCTTGCCCTTTGAGCTCATCACCATTGTGGCAGTGGTTGGAAAGATGCCATTAAAATTTTCCTCTCCTGTTGGGCATACCTCCCCCAGGAGGTCTACAGGGCTCCACCGTAGATGGAGCATGGCCCAAGATCTGTATAGCACCCTGCGGGCAACTGCACAATATTTACGGTTAGCACCCCACACAGGGTCCAGTGGCCTAAGCACATTACAGCCTGCCCCAAAATGTTTTGTCTGGTGGGGTCCAGGTACAGGCATCCATCACCTAAGGACACTAGTTAAACATTGAGGCAGGCTGCAAATGGGAGGGGATATACAGGGCTGTCCTTACAGCTTTGATTTACCACTGTCCAATCATTTGAAGGTAGCTGATTTACCCAGTAATTCCAGAATTATCTCCCTGTGTCTTGTAATGTACAATAAAAAGAGTACACATTTCAAATGATGAAAATGATGCTCCCCCGAGGAATGAAAAGGACATGTGCTCTGCACTGGTAATAGAGTTTAAAAGAACATAAGAGGATAGAAATATGAGTGCTGCAACTGCGGAGTTGTTTTGAGGGGGAAAATGTTTTTGGACTGCCATCCTTACTTTACTACTTAGCAACATACTGACCTGGAACAATCATGGCACCTGATGGGGTAAGATGTTCTCGGGTCTCACTAAACAGTGACCACCAAGACAACCCGAGTATCCACCATCAGGTCACATATTTTTATGTTGGAATGTACCTTTTAAACATTGCCACTTCATCACATGTCTGTAAAGTATAGCAATGGATTCTACAAAGTGTACTGAGCCTTAGCAAGCAATCACAATTCTCTTCACCAGTGTAAGTGCAGAATAAAAAATATTGGTTGCTTGATATATAAGGAATATATTTACCATTCTGCACCTTGCACAGTCAAGTAGGGCTCATCAGTGGCAACTTAATGAAGATAAACTCCTACGTGTTCTCTTCAGTCAGTGATGCTCAGGGAAGCGAATACTGACCATCACTGACCATTTATGGAAACTTAAGAGCTCTTTATTAGCTGTAATACAGGAACTAAACAGTAAAGTGAGCCCTATGATTCTGCATTTACTGTACATAGATAGGGGGCAGAAAAAGAATAAATGTTAGCACTTGAAAAAGCAAATAGCAAGAAGAAGCTAGAAGGGTTATTAAGAAATTAAATGACTGTTAATTCACACAAAGCAAAAGAGACTAAAGCTAAAGAGTGCCATTTACGAGAACAAATATCAAACTGGTCACAGTGACAAACACTTTGCCCTGGATTTCTTGCCATAGCCAAGAGAGTTCAAGTGACACCAAACTCAGGAGATAAATCTTTAAATGCTCATTCAAGTACCTTAACTATTAACAATAATGTATCTTATTTGTGTATCACTCAGCTGTAGATCCTCAAATCATCTCTGAATTCATGCCGACTCTGTCCTTCCTTCTGGAGGGTGACTACTTTTGTTCTCCATGGTACCTGTGTGTGTTGTAAAGTAGCCACCTCTCCAAGCTTGATAGACTACAAATCTCACATTTCGTTTATCAATTTGTATTGAAATCACAGGAGTGAGCTTGGACCAGTGGCTACTTTAAAACAAGCATGGGGAACAAAAGTAGCCACCCTCCAGAAGGAAAGACAGCGTTGAGACAATTTCAGAGATGATTTGAAGATCTACAGCGGAGTGATACACAAAGAAGATACACTTGTGTTAATAGTTAAGGTACTTGAATGCATTTTTAAGGTTCCACTCCAAAGTTTAGTGTCACTTTAAGATACAAAAATGTAAAAAACGGTTTGTAACACTATGTCACTGGCTGGGCTGGTCTACTCTATAAATATAATGTGGTGATTCAATCTACTGTTATCAATTAAGCAGGAAAGTCTCCTGGGTGCTCTCCTTTAACAGATTGGGTGAAGGAAGTTTGTAATATAATAAGTGATACGAGGTAACATGGTGTCAGCAGTTGGCAGGCTTTCAGGGATTACTTCCACATGTCCAGATTACTTGGTTCATCGAGTAACTAAAATGAGGTAATCACATTATTAGACAATGCATAAACGGCCCTTGAGACTGTAGAAATGGTGCCTATTATATCTGCATAAAAACTGTATATTTCACTCACCATGATCGCTACGCTGCTCAGCAACAATACTTAAAGAAAGCACTTTGTTATATATATGTGGCATTGCACCTTATATAGTGAGTTCCAGATTTCTGCATAAACTTTAAAGGATAATTAAAGCCTCAGTTTTTTTTGCATATATCTACTGCTAGCAAGCAGTAGATATAAGCAAAAAAAAAAACCCGCTTTGAAAAGGGTTAATACTTACCCGTGTCTTCCCTGCACGCTCACGTCCGGAAGCCCGCCCCTTGTTGCAGTCATCGCAAGTACGATCTGCCTGTCCAAGATGGGCAGATCGTACGAGCTTTTAAATAAGCTTACGACCATCGCAAGACAAAAGTCTTGCGATGGTCGTAAGGTGTATGGGAACCTTTAGCCTTCCCTGGGACAATCCATTCCAGGGCAAGTGCTAAACGGGAGGTTCTGCCTTTACTATAATGAAAGTCCCAGTGTTGTAATACAGGGCACATCTAGCATGTTTTTTAGGCATACAGCACTTTGTGCAAGTATACCAAATATATATTTGCTCATTTCAGTATGCTCTCCAGCATTGGCTAACCTTATTGGCACAGCAGCAAACTATACGGTTTATTCAATATGTTTCCGTAGCATTATTTGTGCAGGGTAGTTTGAATCCCTGATGTAATGGCTAATAAGAAAAGGTTTATAATATTGTTAGGTCATAAAAAAGGTGAGAATTGATGATGCAATAAAGTAATTTGGACAAGGCTGGAAGTAGAGGTACTGAAAAGTTAAACTTTATCTATCTGTTCGAGATATGTACCACTGATAGTACTCTCCCTCACCCTCACTATAGGGGGGACAAAAAAAGGCTGAGGAATTCTATGCAGAACTGATTTATGGGAGAAAATTCTTACTTCACTGCCCCCCTACCATGATAAAACTGTATGGCTTATATGTGTCTGTATGGCTTATATGTGTTCCACTAGTTTAGAAGAACAAGACAACCTTTTAACTAAATGCACATAATGGTATGTGGGAGATTCTCATTTTTAAAAGTAGCCCTTAGATACCATTAAAAGCCTATGATATTTGTATATACCTAAGCAATGTTTAAGAAACACAAATATTGTAATGCGACAAGCACATTGCTATAAAGTTTCTTAGACACTCTCCCCCCTTCACAGATTCCAAGGTTGTTGGAAGATTTTACACTAGAAAGGTCAGTTCTTTTGTTCAAGTAAGGCAGTGTAAGGGCTTGCGTTAATGGGCAAATGCAGATTGCTTGCACTTGCACTGGAGATCAGTTTAGGATGCTTCTGAGATCATTCAGAGTTCAATGACCAATGAATATGACCTGCACTTGACCTAAACTTCATCAATCTGCTTCAAGCAGCTTTTGCATTCACAATGACTTTATGGGGACAGAAGCTGCTCTAAGCAGGCAAATTAGTAAGAATACATTAAAGAAAAAACAAAACACTGGCTTTGCAAAGGGACAAGGGGCCTTAAGGCTTAAGACTGCCTTCTTCCATAAGTTAGTTTATGCCTTTCATCTCAATCAGAACATTGTTCTTCCATTCCACTGTGCGGCTCCAGTTCACCAAAAGGAAATTCGGGCTGTGAGTATGTTTTAACCACTGTTTCAAGGATAGGGTTCCACCCTTTTCTGTCAAGGTGCACTCTACTAGATCTGGGAATGATTCCTGGGCTTGGCATCAGGCTACTGTTTACAAGATTTCAAGGCTGCCAGCCTTCTCCAAGTTCCACCAGGTAGATGTTCACACCTTATCTAAAGCCAGCTTTGGGTGTATGGAGCATAAGGCATCATTTTAACTTGCAAGTAGTCCCCAGTTGCTGTTGTTTTTTCTTGAGGCTACATGCACTCTCTAACATGCACAATGGAATTACCAGCTCAAATCTGGCCCCCTCTCTCCCCGATATATCTTTTGGCAAACAGTCCTTTACCTCTCCCAGTATGGGTGTACTATCTGCACCCTGTACTGCACTCCAGCACAGCCCTGGACTATGAATGTTGAATTTTGCTCTCAAATTCCAAGCACTCATTGGTCAGCATGGTCACCTGATTGAAGCGTACCAATGAGTGGCGCTTCTTAACACAGTTAAATACGGTTTTGGTTGAAATAATTTTTTATATCAGGACAAGTAGATTGTCATGAGGGACAAGTAGATCTAAAATCCTTGGACAAGTAGTTTAAAAAAAAAATTCCACACCCTGATGGAAGTCGACTTATGAGATCATACAAATTTTTTCCTTATTTTTCAGGGGTCCAGGTTATGCCATCCCTACATTAGGCTTTGTATCTTTGTTCACTGGCTCTGGATACAAGCGGTTTTCAAATTGAATGCGAATTTTGGATGTTACACTTAGCAAGTATCACAAAACAATCCTATGCTCCTCAACTCCAACTAGTGGCAGAAACACGGTGTGAACAGTATTAACCCAGTGTATGGCTGGGTGGAAGATTTATAAATGAGTCCTAAAGAGATAAAATGCATACAGTGCATTTAAAAAAAATATTACCTTCATATAGTTGACAATCTTTGCAAGGACACCAAACTTAAAGTTAGATGTCCCAGACAGGGGTTTGAGGCCGTATGAACCATTGCTACCATCTGCCAGAAAAAAAAAAAAAAAAAAAAATAAGGTTAGCCAATAAGTCAATATTTATAATCATTGATCATACATCATTTCGGGGAGAGGGAGACAGAAAAATTACATCAAGAAAACAAAAAACAAATGTTTGCTTTTTTATCAGGCTGTTTATGATGGTAATTGTAGGTAATTAAATAACATCCAAATGGTGCCTCCAATTTTGAGCATTACTTGCGATAAATTGAGTGGACTCTGACCACCGAATAGGAACTAATGATAGCCTCAGAGAAATAAAGGTTATTACTGCACACAGAGATCTAGTGGGCTCGTTCCCTCCTTGAAGAATTATTCTGCAAATAATGCTCTAATTTCTTGGCGAGAGTTGCTGTGGGTCTCAAAACCAGGACAACTAGTTTATGAACAGGCACATATCTTCTATGGTCTGCTTAATGTGACATTAAAGGCTATTTCCCCCACCTCATGCTAGTGTAAGGACTTACCTTAAATGATGCCTCTTAATCCGATCATCTTTTTCTTTAGTGTAGTTTTCAGATGTCCCCGATCCAGCGCCAACTCCGCTGTCCTCTTCTCTGATGTCCCACGGCGTCTGTGCGGGTGCACGCTGCTCCATAGACTTACCTTGCGTCTCTCCTCATCTCCCGGCCGAACATCTGAACTACGCATGCGCCCGCGCCCCAGACTTTTCAGATGCACAGACGGGAGCGCGCAGCGAAGACACAGTTTTAACCGGTTTCAAAAGGTTTTTTAAAAAAAGTTTTTGCATATATCTACTGCTTGCTAGGAGTAGATATATGCAAAAAATGTGAGGGTTTAATAACCCTTTAGGAATGGCCGCACAATAAAATATTGGAGCTGTCAACAACAGTTACCAGCAACTGAGTATGGAGGTCTCTGCCGGTTTGGATAGAATTTTCATGGATTGTTTAGGTAAGTCTATGTGAATGTGCACTGTGTAAAGTGCTGCGTAAAAATTGTTGGTGCTATATAAAAAAAATCAATAATAAATACATAGCTGTTTTTAAATAACATCATTCAGGCACATGGCTAGGCAAATCCCTGTGGACATTTTGTTTTTTTTGCATTTCCCAGTCACCACTGTACGCCTGTGGTCAATTCGGTCTTTTGATGAGAGAAAGGCGCCAGGATTAAAGTAACACAGCCATCTGCTCCTCTGCAGGTTACCGAGTGGTGCATTGTACAATCAAGATTCAATAGTGATGTGGAAATCAGCAGGCAGCCCAATCTCTCAGGATTGTAGAGGCGTTCAGTGGTGAGAAAAGAAAGTATTTATCCTTTACAGGTATGCCTTGCTTGAGTAGCAAGAGAGCGACAGGGTCGCTTTAAAAGGGAATTCAGAGTCTTTTCCATGTCTTTTTTCGATACACTTTATTTCAAAATATGTCCTACATTATTATTTACATTACTATTCATAATTTATTATATATCGGCATGCGGGCAACAGATTTACTCATTATATATGCAGACTCTGCTTCATACTTTTCGGAGCAACACAATGGTTTTGCAACTCCAAATCATTATGCAAGCCTATACGTTTGCAGACTAAATTAAAGCGACAATAAAGTCAAAAACTTTTTTCCCTCGCCCCCAATGTTAATTAAAGCATTTACCTTAAATTATGTCTCTTAATCGGATGTTCCTCTTTCCAGCCTTCTATCCAGCGCTGCTGCGTGTCTACGATCCCTGACTCCTCTGTCCTTGCTGGCACTTCCTGTCCCACGGTGTCTGCATGCAGGTGCATGCGCCCACCCCAAGAAGCTTTGGGGCTGCCCGAGCATTTTCGGTTTTTCGGACTGGAGCGTGCGGCGAAGACTGGCAAGTTTAAACCGCTTTTTAAAAAAACAAAACATTTTGCATACATCTACTGCTTGCTACCAGTAGATATATGCAAAAACACTGAGGGTTTAATAACCCTTTAAGACAATTAACTCCTTGTGTGGTTGACATAATTTCTCAACTTTGCCAGGGTTTGGTTTGTGAAAAGGTTTGCGAAACTTGCTTGAGGTTTGTAACTTTGTAGAAAAAACACTAAAAAGTCTATTGGTAGCCTATCTTGTTATTTAATTCTGGCCATTTGTAGGGCTAATAAGCAAGCCATTATTAACCCCTTCATGACTGAGCTTGTTTTTGGTTTCTGCTCGTAAATGACTGAAGCACTTTTGACATTTTTGCTGTGCGATTCTTCCATGTCAGTAATATACTTTCTTGAAAAGGACAGATATGTAATATAAATATATAGCCCTATGTGTGTCTAACACCTCGCTTAGGACAAATAAAATATAAAAAGAAGAGGAAAAATTGTAAAGAAAACACTTTTTCCCCAGTTTTGATTTGTAGTATTTTTTTACAAAAACAACACGGCTAAAAAAAAAAAATACAATAAAATACATTTATTTGTCCTTTATTTGGGAAAAACTAGAAAAAGATGGCAACCACATGAATCTATAACCAGCATTTATAGCAGGGCGCACGTGGGAAGGCTTACAACAATTTCTAAAATCCTAGGAGTGTGAGGTTTTTCCAAATAATACAAAACACAGAAAGATCCCCAGCGCACCTGCAACAAAATGAATTACCCTGTCAACAGTATGCATTAAAAGCAGAGGTTTTAGTTGCACAAACCAAAAATATGTGAAAGCCACACTGCCACCGTCAAGGCACCTCTGCAAAGTGTGGTCCTAACTATTTATTTTGAGTCTCCAAGTGTGAGCATATTAATGAAGTTGATTAATAGGAACATGTTCGTTTTGTTGCAGGCTAGCTGGCAGGTGCGCTGGGGATCTTTTTGTATTATTTGGAAAAACATCACATTCCTAGGATTGTAAAAACATTTCTGTACTTCTCAGCCTAAACCCTAACATTTAAATCTTTTGTCTCTAAAAGCTAGAAGTAGTCACCTGACATACAATGTCACTGTCACTAAGTGTCACACTTATGGACAGTGTGCCGCCGCAATGGGGCATAGAAGTTTATTTAGATAGAAGTTTTATATACCGTATTTGCCGGCGTATAAGACGGCTGGGCGTATAAGACGACCCCCCACTTTTTGTGTAAAAATATAGGTTTTGGGCTATACTTGTCGTATAAGACGAGTATAGCCCAAAACAATGTTTAAATGCACTTACTAACCTCCTTGGCGGTATTCCCGAGTGTGGCTCGGGGTTAATTTTCAGTACCATAAGTGTTAACCCCGAGCCACACTCGGGATTACAGTCTCTTACCTTGTCCAGGATCTCAGCAGCGTCCTCCATCTTCCGTCCTTCAGCTACTACCGCGCTGAGCCAATCACGGCAGGCTTTGAATGAATAATGAGTACAAAGCCTGCTGTGATTGGCTCAGCGCGGTATACGGTATGTAGCTGAAGGACGGAAGATGGAGGACGCTGCGGGGATCGTGGACAAGGTAAGAGACTGTAATCCCGAGTGTGGCTCAGGGTTACCACTTATGGTACTGAAAATTAACCCCGAGCCACACTCGGGAACAGCGCGGTATACTGTATGTAGCCGAAGCTACATACAGTATACCGAAGTATACGCGGCGTATAAGACGACCCCCGATTTTCGGGCGATTTTTTTTGGTCTCAAACCCCGTCTTATACGCCGGCAAATACGGTAGATTGTTTTCTCTATACCATTTTCCTATGGACGTTTATATAGTTAGTTTTATGCTGCCATCTAGTGACCTTTTGTAATAATGCACCTGTTTTTTATGTATTCCTTTCATGTGACGACACATTTCCTCTGTATGTATGCCCCCCCCCCCCCCCCCCAAGACAGCGACATACTTTGAACATCACGGTCATGAGGGAGTTAAAAAAAATTTAACCCTTCGGGTGAAAGACAAATCTGCAGCTCAGCTGCAGATTTTTACTGTAAGGGGTTAATTTTTATATAAAAATGATAGTAAAAAAATATATTTGAATATATCATTTTTATTTGTTACATTTATTTTTTTTACACTTTTCACTTTTTAAAAAAACGTTTTAGATTTTTATTTTATTTAATAATATCAAGCAGTCATTGTGAATTAATCTCACCATTACTGCTTGATAAATTAATTAATTTTTGGTTATTACTAGGCTGCTTCAAACTTAAGAAGAGCCAATAATAACCTTAGTGACACTGATCCTGCAGTATTTCTGCAGGATCAGATGTCACTAAAGGTTTTCCGATTGTTCCATCAACGATCAGAAAACGTCAACATTCTTTCAGGAATAGAAACATTGCTTTTCTATTCCTGAAAGTAAAAAAAAAAAAAAAAAAAAAAAAAAGTGTGTGTACATAGGGATATCCCAATCTACACCAGCTGTCAAGAGTGACGGAAGGAGCTGCAAATGAGGCTCCGCTCTCACTCTCAAGGTGCCCACATACCTTGCGTTAATCATACGATAATCGCGGGAAATCCCGCGATCGTACGATTATCGCAAGGTGTGTGGAAGGCGTGCGACCTCTGCTACTGTAAGGTCGCACGACTTTTATCTTAGGAACATGTTCGAAAAACCGCCGAGAATTGTACGATTGTCGGCGGGTGTGTGGCATGTTCGTAAGATAAATGCCGCAAGCGCACACTACCTGTTCAGCATTGTGGTCATCGGAAAACAGCAAAAAACAACATGACAGGGTTTTTAACTCTGCCCTACTCTATCCAAAACTACAAATATTTTGCAATAGATACACAAGTGGAGTAAGGATTTGTAACTTTTTAGACACTTTAAGCAGACTCTACTGGTGTAGTGACTATAGTGAAATGCAGAGCTAATATGTAGACCGCTTCATCCAGGGAGGGTCTGTGTTGTACCAAATACCTTCCACTTCTTAATAATAGGACTTCACCGTGCTTCTAGGCATTGATAAAGCCTTTGACATTTTTTGTATCCATCTCCTGACTATTGCCTGTCCACAACTTTATCCTGGAGATCTTTTGACAGTGCCGTGTCACCCATAGTTGATTGTTTACTTCAGTTGCACTACCAGAGACTGAA